TCTAAAGGCAAAGCTCTGGAGTTACAGGTGCGTCTACGTTCTAACCCTTACCTGTGGTCATGAGATGTGGAACAGAACCAAAAGACCCAGGTCCTGAATCCAAGCAGCTGAAATGGTCTTCCTCTGTAGGGTGGGGGGGAGCTTGCTGCTCCTCTGCATCTGAAGGAGTCAGCTGAGGAGGTTCATCTGATCAGGACGCATTCTGGATTTGTCCTGGGAAGAGGGCCGACCCAGACCCCTCTGGAGGGATCACAGATCCGCTCTGGTCCTGGAGCACCTCGTGGTAGATTTTGCTCTGAGGTGACGAGAACTGATTTTATGTCCTGATGTTTCAGATTTCCTTCACTCCTACAGATGTTAGAAGCTTCTGTACGGTTGAAACGTGCCGTTTTTCAGATTATTCTAATCTCCGAGGCGGTTCCGTCCGTTTCCTTGTTTTTATTTCACAGATGAACGTTCCAGAGAAAGTTTTCCTCCTCGGGGAGCAAATTAAGAAGTTCAGCTCAGTAATCAAAGCTGCAGATGTTTCTTCTTGAAGCTGCGAAGCAGAAACTGACGTTTTTTTCAAATTCACTGATCTGAACTCGGTTTTGATCAGAAGATTTTTATGAAGATGAAAACGTTTGATGTCAGAAATTAGAGGAAGAAATCAATTTGATTCCTCCTGGTCAGAGTCGTTCCTCTGATTAGTGGAAACTAAAAGTTTTTATAACGAGAGCGAGGCGCAGAATTTAAAACTTTTAGAAGGATTTTAAATTTCCTTCAGCACTTTGTTTAGAAAGTGTTCAAGGAAACGCTGAAGTCAAGTTCAGGAAAAACTCAAGAAACGAGGATAAAACAATGAAAGGAAAGTATCAAAGGGCTAACTTAAAGCTGAACGTATTAAAAGTAGCTTAAAGCGAAAAGTACCAAAAAAGTAGCCTAAAGCTAAAAGTATCAAAAGATTAGTGTAAAGCTAAAAGCATCAAAAAAGTAGCCTAAAGCTAAAAGTATCAAAATATTAGCATAACGCTAAAAGTATAAAAAAGCCTAAAGCTAAATGTATAAAAAAGCCTAAAGCTAAAAGTATCAAAAAGTAGCCTAAAGCCACAAGTATCAAAAAGTAGCCTAAAGCTAAAAGTATCAAAGTATTAGCATAATGCTAAAGTATCAAAAAAGTAGCCTAAAGCTAAAAGTATCAAAAGATTAGTGTAAAGCTAAGCCTAACAAGAGTAGCCTGAAGTGAAGTGTCAAAAGAGAAGCTAAAGCTAAAACTATAAAAAAAAAAGTAGCCTAAAGCTAAAAGAAAGATTAGTCTTAAGCTAAAAGTATGAAAATATTAGCATAAAGCTAAAAGTATGAAAATATTAGCCTAAAGCTAAAAGTATCCAAACATTAGCCTAAACCTAAAAATAACAAGAGTAGCCTAAGGCTAAAATTGTCAAAAAATAGCTAAAGTTAAAGCATCAAGAGTAGCTAAAGTTAAAGCATCAAGAGTAGCTAAAGCTAAAAGTATAAAAAGAGTAGCTACAGCTAAAAGTATAAAGAGTAGCCTAAAGCTAAACGTAACAAGACTAGATAGAAGCAAAAGTATTAAAAGGTTGGTGTAAAAATAAAAGTATCAAAAGAATAGCTAAAAGCGAAAAGTATGAAAAAAAATTAGCTTAAAAAAGTACATTTTACATTCTAGATGTAAACCCAACGATGACTTCTTGAAAGTTTCACTAAAATTCATCTGGTGGTAATTGAGATATTTTGCTAACAGACAGTGGTTGACTCCCACATTTAACGTTAAGTTTTAAACTAAGATCTAAGGCAACCTGTCAGTGCTTGGTGCGATTGGGAGGCCTCTCAGCTACTACCACACCAAAATGTAGCTGAATATTTGTTAAATTCACAGATTTGGAGTCGCCTGTGTGTTTGCAATGTTCGATCAGCTTTGGCGGCCATCTTGAATCACGTTCGCTCTAAAAGTTAATCAGTTGTAGCTACAAGTTCAGTGATTACTTCCTGAACGTTTCACTAAAATTCATCTAGTGATTGTTGAGATATTTTGCTAACACAGGTCACAACGTGGTCGCCTGCTTTTTGTGGTAGTGGCTGAAAAAAATAAAAATAAAGCGCCACAAATCTGAGCCGAAGCCTCGTGAACTTCTTTATTAGACACCAAACGAACAGCAACACATTTTATACGATTGAACTTCACCTTTACATCCAACAAATCTTATTTTCATGCATCACATCTGGAACATTCAGGCTGAACTTACGACAACAATTATTCAAAAATGGATAAATGGGGAAAAAACGGGCCTAAAATTTATTTAGAATTTTAAAATAAAATTCTTCAAAGGCTTTATCTTCTCGTAGAATAAATCTTTTCTTAAATACATTTTGCTCCGTCTTTTCTGTAAAAAATAAATAAGAGTTTTTCCGGTTGGACGCTCTCCAGATGTTTTTCCCGCCTTTCTCACCCCTCCTCCCCCGGGAGTTTTCCGGTAAACAGACGGGGTGAAACTGTGAGGAGCGCCGGCAGAAAACCGCTCGGATTAAGATCTCAGAGCTGTCAGGAGGTTTCTGTGAGAGGTTTTCAGAAATCCCTCTGACCAGACGGGTTTTTATTTTTTATTTAAGAGGAAGGACTTGTGAAAAGCTTCGACACGCTCCGGCTTCCAGGTGTGGAACGGCGTTAGAAGCGTCCTGACACCACGGATCAAATCAACAGGAGGTGAAGGGAAGACGCTCACCCAGAAATACTCCGTCTGGAGAGCTTTCAGATTGAGATAAATCTCTGCGTGACGCGAACGTTTATAAAGACAGACGGCGCTTCACAGCAGGAAGGCTAACGGGCTAACGGGCTAATTCAGGTCCAGGAAAGCAGCAGCTTTTAAGAGATTCAAAATGTCAAAAACAAAAATAAATCATTCCTCAAATAAAAATCTGGATTTAAACACTAAACATTTAAGATAAACCAAAACAGGAAGAATAAAAATTAAATATTCCCGTTTCTTTCTCTTTTATTGTTCGAGTCAAAACCTGTTGGGTTTATTCCTCATGCATTTCAAAATAAAAGCCCGTTAAATTCAGGCAGGATTTATATTTTCAGCTCAAAGGAAAAGACTAAATACTTTAAAGTGAGAAGGTTAAACAATATCTTACCTGTTGCTTTTTGAACGTTCTTGGTTTGATGAGCTAACGGCTAGTCCAAACGAGACCAAAACCAAAATGGACTTAAAATGACTTCAATCTTTAAAACATCAAAGCTGTTCATTAAAACATGTTTTTATATTTTTACATCACATTAAACTGATGGTTGCAAGCGCTAAAAACGTCAAAAGTAGCTAGCCGAGCTAATGTAGCACTTCCTGCAGGAACATCATATTTCTGTAAAAAAAAATACACGTAATGCAAAATTCAAGTCAACGTAAAGAGAACTTTTTACATTAATGGTCCAATTTTGGTCCAAACTGGTCCAAACTGGTTTGGACTTGGCTCGAAATTAGCCGTTAGCTCGACCCCTAAACGTTCAAAAAGCTATCTACAACAGGTAAGATATTAACTGTTCATCGTTCCACGTACATTTAAAGAATGATTTAAAGGCTTTTCTTTGATTGAAATAGCACAAAATCATCTAAAACTTTTTTTTTTAAATAAACTTTTAGAAGAATTATTAATTTATGATGATTTCCTTTGAGTGAATGTGAGTTCACTCAAATCAACGAATGCTACAGACACGGATAAACTCGTCGGTACCCTCATTAAAACAAGTTGTATTTATTTTTAACAAAGATGAGCTACAACGGTACAAAGATCCGTCTACAGAGCTCAGGATGAAGATGATGGATATCCACGCCCAAGGTAAAGACCACAAGATCATCTCCAAGCAGCTTCATGCTCCTCTGATCACACCTGACAAGATTATTAAAACATCCGACGTTCGCGGGGCTCTAGCCAACCTCCCAGGACGTGGACGCAAGAGGGAATGCGACCCCATGTTGATGAGACGCATAAGAAACGTCTCAAACCATTCAAGATGAACGCCAAGATTTCGATCTCAACATTTTTGAATCGTAACGATGGAAGAAAACCCAGGAGACCCAGTGTTCAAAACCCACTTCAACAAGAACCGAAGGGTCCGAGTGACGGGACCAAACTGGAGCGTTTCGGTTCCGGTCATCAGTCAGGTTGCTCGGTGTCTGCGGAAGTGTCCGACACATTCAGTCACGTCCGCCTGCTTTGAACCGTGCAAGTCAAAATGTGCCGTGATCCTTGAAACGCGTCAAAGATCCGGGGTCCTGAACAGCTGGCGTGAGGAAATGACCGGGTCTGAGGAGAAACGGTGAAACCTCTGGGCCTCGTTAGGCTCGTTTACTTCTCTTCAGGCTAAAGGAAATTACGTTCTACGTTTAAAATGCTCACTACGATTTTTAAAAGCTGAAATCAGAGACTCGTCATCAGCGGACCGAAGCGTTGCCACAATAAAATCACCGAACGCACGACGACGAGCAGTAAATATTTACACGTCTGTTTACGAGACGAAGAAAACAAAAAGCTAATTTTCAGAGGAGTTTAGATTAATTTATTGCAACAAAGTGTCTTTCAGGGCTTTTATTTTTGGTACTTTTACTCCTTCAGTGTCTAAGACGTGTCGCATGTTTGTATTTTTTAGGAAAAATAAACAAAAACAAAAGACTCAGAGGTTTGAGGCGTTCGAACGTGACAAAATTATTTTTAATTCGATTCATTGACTGAAGAAACTCGTTGGAAGTTTTTTTTAACTCCTGATCAAACAAGCCGGCGTCTCATGAACGAAAATCGGCTTCAAAACAAAAACAAAATAAATAAAACGGTTTGTAAACAAACTGAATAAATAGGAACGACAGCGATTTAAAACAAAAACATCAATCAGGACGAAAATACTGGTTTCTAAATATCTACAGTTTCTTCACAACGTTGCAGATAAAAGACTGATCTGAACCAAACCTGGACCTGGTCTTGGGTTTCCGGACCAACAGAAACCCTCCATCAGGTCCTGGTTTTACCAGATTTAAAGACTCGGGGTGCGTGGGGGGCTCAGGCGGGTCGGGGTTAGACCATGAAGCGGTGCTCCTTGCCGTCGTGAGCCATCAGGATGACGTTGCGGTTGGAGGTCCAGATGAGGCGGGCCAGCTTCAGGTGGTTCTGGGAGCCCGGGGAGGCGGGCTGGACCGGAGGGACCTGGTAGGTTTTGATGCAGCGGAGCTGGGGGGCCGAGTTCAGCATCCCGATGCTGCCGAGGAGGCTGGTGTTCATCTGAGGAGCGGGAAACAAAACGGGTTCAGTTAAATTTTGACCTTGAAAACATAAAAACAGTGTGAAGAAATGTTGCCAACGCAGCTGCTGGGGGGGGGGGGGGGACTCTCAGCTACTACCACACCTATTAAAGCTCAGCATCCATAAAGCTGGCCGAGTTAGAGAAGGTTTTGTGTTTGGTGTGGTGGATTAGTCGTGGCAGCGATCGACTGAAAAGAAAAGTAACGGGTCGTCGACGTATAAGTTGAGTTTCACTAAAATCCATCCAGTTATTAAATATTTTGCTAACAGACGCACAACTAAAGGACATTTTTCTAGAAAACTTCCTGAAACGCATCACGAGTTGCCTCTGGAGTAACAGGTTAAAGAAACCACTTTTGTTTGTTCAACTCCGGATGGTTTTAGAGTTCAAAGTGACGGTTTGACCGACGTCGCATTTTGTGTCAAACTGAGCAAACGGAAGAAAAACGTCTCGATGATTTGATCTTCGGACTGAACTCGACTTTATCTCATCGTCTCTGAAGAAAAGACGAGGGATGAAACTGGATGCAGCCGCCGAGTGTTCAGGAAAAAAACACGAGTAGAAACTCTATTCCTGACACACACACACACACACACACACACACACACACACACACACACACA